CGGGTAGGGATAATTGAGAAGATTGGAAGACATTCAGGCGTGGACCTGAACAACGTTTTATGCTACCGTTGTTATGTGGTTCAACATTGAATGAATGAAGGTTCAACCATTCCTCAAATGGCCGCACCCCCATGGAAACCAAATGTGGTGCGAATTATAGTTATCGACGAATGATAAAACCTGATACCGGTAGCGTCGATCCACTATTAATATCTACCGTAGTAGCACGACGCTGTTTGCTTTGTCGCCTATCGATCGAATGTCAGGTAGGAATACTTGCCATAACGGTCGACGGCGGCTTTGGACAACGTTGTCATTGCTATCAGGTGTGACACTTCCCACAATGCAGGGACGCAGAACATGAACATGCCAATCGCTTCTCTAGTTCCGCAAAGGTTCCTCTACAGGCTGCTAATCTCCACGGCGCAGGAGACGAACATACCAATCATTGTCTGTAACAAGAACATCATACGGTAGAACAAGATGGCAAGAGAGCTCCACACTGTCCGATGAGCTCCTGAACTATTACAGTTGCTGTGTTGGAGAGTGTGCATCTGGGTTTCCGCAGAGGCACTTGCATCTATCTCTACGTCTTGCTGTTGCTTCCTACTTGTGCGTAAAGTTGGGTTCTCTCTTTTCCAAAAAGGCTTCCATTCCCTCCTTTTGGTCTGCCGTGGCAAATAGGGCATGGAACATTCGTCGTTCGAATCTCAATCCTTCTTCCAGAGAAACTTCTTGTGACACATTGATGGCTTCCTTGCACATCATGACGCTGATGCGTCCCTTGGAGGCAATTTTGGTTCCCATCTTGACGGCTTCATCGACCAAGTCATCGGGAGGGAAAATTTTGGCCACCAATCCAGCTCGTTCCATGTCTTCGGCACCCATCATATCACCGGTCAGACACATGTACATGGCCTTGGATTTGCCAATGGCTCGAATCAAGCGTTGGGTGCCTCCTCCACTGTTTCAAACAAATAAGGTCGATCGTCGTAGATTGGGGTTTGAACATGAGTTCCTTCCATGTTAGCTGCATTGTACTGTGCATACACACTGGTTTGACTCTTCTGCAATATCGTCAGCCAAATGGAATCATCACTTACCCTGGGATGACACCTAGATTGATCTCGGGTTGACCAAATCTTGCCTTTTCTCCGGCAATCACTGTAAAATAAATAGACATGTTATGTTAGGATATACAATGCCAAAAAGTTTGCCAGAACATGTTTTTGCAAGATCGCACCAATATCACACATCATGGCCACCTCGCATCCTCCTCCTAGACAAAATCCATTGACGGCCGCAATCACTGGTTTGGACAACTTGGTGAATTGTCCCCACCAGGCAAACATGTTCTACGACATATAAAAACAACACACACAAAGAAAAAGTTGTGAGCATGACATGAAAGCATATATCATAGTATGTTCCATTTTATTGATTCGGATAACATAACATTGATCGTAAAGTGGATCGTCACACACGCACCGTCTTGTAAGCATGATCAAATGTTCGGTCCTTCATTTCGGAGATATCCGCTCCTGCCGCAAAGGCTTTGGTGCTACCCGTCAAGACAAGACATCCAATGTCGTCATCGCTGTCCAAAGCTTGTCCAGCCTTGATATAAAATAAAAACAAGAAAGAGAGAAAGGTCAACATTTTGTTGTTTACTTGGCAAAAATAAATACACAACTAATCAAGTAATAATCACTCACATGAACCAAATCCTTGAACAAGTCATCACAGAGGGCATTGAGAGCCTTGGGTCGATTCAATCGGATCAACCCAACTCCTCCTTCCGTCTTTCCACTTCGATGTATTCGTACTTGTCCTTTAACGTATGCTGCCAACGAGACATCCCCATTGTTGTCATGGGCGGGATGCGGTGAGTGAGGAGACACTTTGTTTGGATTCCACGCAACGTCGTGCGTACCAAAGATGGTGCTCGGAAACTCATGCTGACTGATTGATGGCGATGATACCGTAATAATTAATGGAAGGACGTGAAAGTAGTAGTTGAGAGAGAGAGAAATGGAAGAACAATCAAATGTATCAGCTAGACAACTCGTAGGGCTTCTCGAGATAGTAGAAGGTGCTGAAAAGAAGTGGGAGAGATGCTCAATTCTCAGCTTGTCACTGTCACGATCGATGCCATGATGCTTCCAAAAAGCGGTGAGAAAGATCCGAGGATCCAAAGGTCGCACAATGGCTTTGGATATCAGGTGTCATGATGCACGAATGAGAGATTCTTAACATCAGGGAAAATCTTTTCTCGGAGCTTTGCTGCACCGCTGCGCTCCCTTCCATGGATCCCCACACAACATTGCCACTCTCCTCCGATCCAAACATCCGCTCGATTGTGTGGCCATTCAAAGCAGACAGTATCAATGACGATGATCCAGTTCTTGGTGTTGAATCTGTTAATTTTCGTTGCCACCGTTGCCTTCAGTTGGCAACCACTGCGCCAGCAACCGAAGCGTCATTCTTCTCCATTGTTTCTGTCCCGATTGTCGAGTTTTGATCATGTGGATTGGCAGTCCATTTTGAATGATATTGCCACGGACATTCAGCCCTATCTGGCCAAGGGAAAAGTAGCTTCCTACATTCCTGCCTTGGCAAATGTCGATCCCCACCAATTTGGAATTGCCTTTACCGATATTCGAGGCAATACGTACAAGGCCGGCCCGAGTGCCGATACTCCCTTTTCCATTCAATCCATTTCCAAAGTATTTGCCTTGGTCATGGCATTGGACCTCGAAGGAGAAGCACTCTGGAAAAAAGTCGGACGAGAACCTTCCGGAGGCAGGTTCAACTCCATTGTGCAGTTGGAAAGCGAACAAGGGAGACCTCGAAATCCATTCATCAATGCCGGAGCCATTGCCGTTACCAACAGTATCCAACAACATTATTGAGTGGTAGCGACAGTATAATAAGGAAGATGACAAGAAACTCTATACACGACAATACACCCACAAGACCAGTCCGGACGAGTACAATTCCATTGCCATTAACAAAATACTGGACTTTCTAAAGACGTGTGCGCAAACTGATCAGGACATTCGAATCGACCCCGAGGTGGCGCGCAGCGAAGCCCTGTTTGGAGACCGGAATCGGGCACTGGCCTACTTTATGAGATCCTATGGGGTCGTACAGGGAGATATCGGACAAACGCTACACACATACTTTCATCAGTGTGCCTTGGAAATGAGTGTCACCACGCTCTCAAAGGCATAGGACTCTTTTTTGGCAGCAGCAGGGCAGAATCCACTCGCAGAGGATGATGGTGCCATGTTGGTCACTGCGCATGACCATGTCGACCGCGTCAACTCACTCATGATGTTGTGTGGACATTATGACATGTCAGGTACGCAAAACGAAAGAATTTTGAAAGCAGCAAACAAACGAGAAGCGGAAGGACAACAAACAGACACGTCTCTATTGCTCTTTGTTCATTTGCTCATTGTCTGCACACGCCCAATCAATCAATCAACCAATCCACCCATTCCTTCTATTATTGATTTTTGCAGGTGACTTTGCCTTTCGGGTTGGCCTCGCGGGGAAATCTGGTGTGGGAGGGTAAGGAAGATGCCTTGGCTTGGCTTTCTGAAATAAATATCCCTCTTGCGCCTCACAAAAGTCACTCTCTCCTGCACCATTGCTGCTAGAGGGATCTTGGCGGTGGTACCAGATGTAGGAACATTGGCAGTCTGGTCTCCTAGACTCAACAAAGCTGGCAACTCGTACGCTGGAACCTTGGCTCTGGAATGGTTCTCAGGGCGTACAGGCGTCAATCTATTCTAAGTCTATTTTGGCTGGTGAACGATGTTGGGATCTTTCTGCTGTTGCAAAATCCTCGTCCATCGATAGACACCACAGCGATACTACAGCCTATAATAAACCCAAGCTGGCCAACATGCAAGTATCATAGGAAGCTTGCTTGCTTGAGCTTAGGGAGATGAAGCATAGAAGTAGATTGAAGTAATATTGTGATATGTGTGTGGTGCACCAAAAGCATTGAAGCACAGACCACCGCCACTTCTCCCACTCCAAACTGGGAAAGCCGTTCTTGGAATCCTCATTGCCAGACAGCAAGCCTGAAGGTTGTCTGCGGGCCTGAGCAGCAGTAACTACCGACTCAAATGTCAGATCTCTCTCTGAATGCTGCCAGTTTGCTGCATGCATATCGCCATTCCACTACCTGGTACTGGTACCAAGAGCTTCAATGACAACGACGGAAATACAAAAAATGATTGTAATGTATGGTAAGGTCGCCATGCAGCACATGTTTCAATTGATTGAATCAATTAACATTCAACTATCTATGACATAATTGTACCAGGTACTAGCTACGGTAGTACATTGTACTTTTTAAACTGCGTCGCAGCGAAAATCAGCGCGATCGTATCGGTAGCGGTGACGCACCGTGGCAGACTACTGATTACCGTAACGGTAGAAGCTGGAAGTGGCAAGAAGAGCCCAAATTTTCTAATAATGTGAGACTGATTTTGAGTGCGGGGATGAGTGCTCCTCCGAAGACAATTCCTCCTAAGAATTTTGCTTTTGGACGATGTTACAGTACCGTTGACATTGTCACAGAATCCCGCTTCGAACTGTCTCAAAAGTTAAGAAGCTTTATCAATCGGAGACTTCTGAAATTTGTCTCCAGTCCTCACCGTAAACACTCTCCCCGCCATAACATTTCTGCGAGAGGTTTTGTCTAAGTATCCAACTCTTACTGTCTAAATATCCTACCTCGGGCCAGCGCACAAGGATACTTAGGCTTGAGAGTTGGTCGAGTGGTACCACATTTTGACGGCACAAGGAGCCCGCAAGGTAGCTCAACGCCCCTCCAACAGTTGAGGGGCTCTAAAAGCATCCGCTTGTATAGGTTTTTGTGGGATTTCAGCGAGGTCTCTCTGATATACTCCTTTCGGAGCTGTAGACGAACACTCCGGTCGGTCGTCGCCGAGGAGGCTTTCGATAGCGATGAAGTTCGCTAACTACGGACAGTAGACATTATCTGTACAACGCGTACAGCACTCTCACAACTTGCATCAGTATCAACGCCAAGGTCGGTTGCTCGCTGATTGATCTAATATCTCCACTGCAAGTAGTGACAAAGACAGATACGCCATCTTCACTTTTGGCTATTAGTCTTAGATAAAGCAGTTTGGAATATACCTGTACAGTCGGTACGAAAGGAGGTAGATAACAACAATGAAGTTCTTGTCGACGGCAATCCTGCTGTTGAGCAGTGCCATTCTAGCCGAAGGAGCCAGGAACAAGCATGGATTCGACTCGGGCTTCTTGAAGGCCATGAACCAAGGGGCCAAGAAGTCGGCTTTCTTGAAGGATGTCACTAACCACGAGCGAAAGCAATTCTGGAAGAACCTTTTGAAGAAGGCAAAGCCGGCAAGTAGCATCCCCAATCTTCGAAAAGAACGTAAGTTGGACGATAGCAACTACTACAACAGTAACAACTACCAGAGTAGTAACCAGCAGAACTACAACTACAACCAGAACCAAAACGCCAACAACGCCAACGACGACGCCAATAACCAAAACGCCAACAACAACGCCAATGACAACTACAACAACGCCAACAACTACGACCAGTACGCGAACCAAAACAACGCCAACGCCAACTACAACAACGCCAACGCCAACAACTACAACAACGCCAACAACTACAACAACGCCAACTACCAGAACCAAGGCAACCAGAACCAAGGCCAAGGCAACTACAACGGCCAGTACAACGGAAACTATAACCAGAACGGTGAAGCGGGAGAATATGACGCCAACTACAACTACTACGCCCAGCAGCACAACTACAATGGTCAGTACAGCTACGGTAACAACGATGTCCAATACAACTACAATGGACAGTACAACGAGCAGTACTACGATCAAGAATGGTATGATGAAATGTACAACGGCGAGGAGGTATACGGTATCAACTGGTTGGATCTTGGCTTCGACATGAAGCAGTACTCTCTCAAGTACACTGGATGCGCAGCAGTCAAGACCTTTGACTCTCAGAAGGCCCAGAATGGATGGAGTGATGTCCTGTCGACCAAGCGATTTGCTCTCTTCCGTTTGTGTCCCTCTAACAACTGTAACAAGTACTCTGTCAATGGATGTGGTCGCAACTATGGAGAGTATGTCCTGCAGATGGATTCCTTCCTTGAGGGAGTCGTTGAGTTCAATCGTCAACGTTACTGGCACTACTGCCACTTCTGCCGAAGGTGCAATGGTCTGGAGAGCTACGGAGAGCGCATGTCTGGACTGTCTGAAGAGCAAATGGAGTTCTACGAGCAGATGCAAGCTGAAGCCGAAGAGTACTACGAGGAGCAACAGCAGCAGTACGAGGAGGAGAACCAACAGTATGCCAACGAGAATGCGGCTTACTACAACTACTACTACCAGTACCAGCAGGACCAGCAGAACAATAACGCCAACGGAGACGACGCGGCTGCAGCAGAAGACGAAGATGCAGATGCCGACGGTGACGATGGTGATCGTCGTGGCCGCCGAGGTCGACGGTTGAAGGTCCCCAAGACAAAGCGTCAGTTGTACAACCAGTACAACCAAAACCAACAGTACTGGTATTACCAACAGAAGAAGAATCAGAACAATGGAAACTATCAAGATGAGGACGGCAACATGGACTACGAATCATACCAAGAGTACATGCAGAACATGAACCAGAACATGTACAACAGCTTCTACTGGGACGAAGATGTCTACGGCGGATGGAGCGATGATTGGAACGAGGCATGGTTGGCTTTCAACTGGCAAGTGCTTCCCTACTGTTCTGAGTCTGAGCTAGAGACCTGCTACAATGCCGATGAAACCTGCGAGGGCTACGACGAGGACTTTGAAGAGGAAGCTGACGCAATGGGAGGCTTCTCTGCTTGCACCCAAATTGATGACGGCTACTTCATTGGTCCCCACTGCAACGGCGATGGCTTCACCATCACACTTGGAGTCTATTCTGATGAGTACTGTGATAACTACATTGGTGATCAAGTCAGTCTTTACGATGTGCTTGGCTACGACATTGATGAAGAGTTTGACTTCTTCCCCCAGGAGTGTGTCACTTGCGAAGAAGGAGTAAGTAGTCTTTTGAGTTCGTTTAACTTGTTGTCGCACCTGTTTGTCGATCGCTCATTCCCTTTTGTTTCTCTCATGTGTGATGTCTGCAGGGCGAAGAAATGGAGTTCTCTGCATTCATGCAAGCCAACCAAGACTTCGACAACTATGAAGAGTGGTTGGATGAGAAGTGGCAAGAGTACATTGAGATGGTCGAGGAGATGTACGAAGAAAACATGGGTGACGAACAGAACCAGTACTACCAACAGCAAGCAGCATACTACAATGCCCAGAACTACGGACAAAACCAGCAACAAGGATATTACTATGCCAACGGTCGCCAATCGCAGAATGGAGGTGGTGCCTACTATTACGGAGACCAGCAGCAACAGCAGCAGTACGCTCAATACGGCGGTCAGAACTACCAGAACCAGCAGCAGGCAGAGCAATATGGAAACTATGGCGCTCAAATGTTGAACCAAGGTATGAACTTTTACTACAACCGTGGTATCGCTGGCAACTGGATCACGAACGAGATGTACGACAAGGACGAATGGCAGCAAGAACAAGAAGAGGAGTACGGTGAATACTACTGGTGGAAGGAGCAGCAACGAACATTCCAAATGAGCGGTGTCGCAGATGTTTGTGGAGCTCTTTACACGTACGCTGCCAAGTGCAACAAGCACCTCACCCAAAGTACCAGCACCAGTGACAACAGCAACAATGACTACACTGAAGACAACGCTTTCCAGTATTCGTTTGGTGTAAGTTACTTGGGATTGGGACAGCAGTTAGTCGTTGCCGTTTGTTTGCTGGTAATCTCACTTGCCTCTTTGTGTCGTCCTCCTTCTCTTTCCAGTCCAAGGCGCAAGAAGGGAACGAAGAAACTGTTTGCAACTTCATTGATAACTTGCAGACTCAAAAGTTTGACGAATTCGGTGAAATTGTGCTCGACGGTACCCAAAAGGATGGTTACATGATTGACTTTGCCGGAACCAACTGGCGTGATCCCGACCAAGTGAAGGCCCAAGCCGAGAAAGCAGGAGTGACGGCCGCACAAGCGGTCGGTCTAGCCATCACAATGGCTGCTTGCCTTGTCATGTCTGTGTGGGCGTGCTGCTTGCACAGCACTTTGGCTCGCAAGAACATCCCATGGAGACCCAAGAGAGGAAAGAACACTGACCCGACGGACATCAACAGACAAAACTCTGGTATTGTTATGGGTCGCTCACGAAGTGGCATGTCTGGCAAGGCTGCTCCACTGATCTAGAAGTTTTTGACTTTGTTGGGGACAATTCAAGCCTGCTTGGACATGGCATGCTTTGTGGACAAAGTAACAGTATCAACCCAAAGAACCTGAGGCGATGGGTGGCCCCGCCCAAACAACTAACTATATGGATGGGCAAGGTGCATATGACGGTCGGCTCTCTCTTCCTTCGCGCCTCGCGGAAACTCATCGCTACGACTCGTCTCGTCGTCAAGTTCTCTTTTTGTGACTCTATATATTGATAATATCTGTTATAACGCACATCATCTTTCCATTCATAGTTCTTCCGCGTACTTTAGTCTATCAGCTAGTCTATCATAGATGGTTCGAAGACATAACATAACCACAATGCAGCTTTCGTCGTTGTGTCTTTCATTAGTTCTTGGTGTCAATTTCCAAGTCAGCCGAGATAAGGATATGATCACTGGGTTCCCTGACGTCTGCGTCCAAGTTGGGAAAGGGCCCCTTGGTTTGGGCCCGGTTGGGCGGTTCTGTCGTCGCAAGGACTTTCCATTCCGGTGACACAAAAATGTAATCCAAAGTGTCAATGAAACAGTTGTCGTCTTCTTCGAGACTTCTAGGGGCGGCATAGTTTGTGTAGTCCGGCTCTTTGCCGTCATGAATGGCTGCGTAGGTACTTCGCATCCCTTTTATTCGGGGTTCCCATGTCATGAGGGTGCGGGAAGCATCCAGCTTGCTCGTTGCAGGATCCGGATACGCAGGGTCCTCTGCCGACAAAGTCCCCGTGGTTAAGAGTTGGTACGCAGCATCAGGCGGCTTAATATTCCAGTCGCCAGCAACAATGTAAGGGAGTCTCATGCTGTTCGCTGATGTCTTGGTAGCTTGCTCAGTCTCTGCATCAGGAATATTCCTTTGAGCCAAATGCTGAACCCTGTATGCTGCCATTTCGGAGTGGATTGTCATGACCTAGTAGGGAGAGAATCAATGTAGCTGCTGGTTGGGATCCCTCACTTCTCAAAAGATGGCACAGAACACAAAAAGTCGCAGGGATATTGGGCTTACCTGAGGTGCATAGAACGCACACGGCATATGATAGGTGCCCACACAAAACCGGGCGTTGGTTTCCTTTTGCTTCAAGGTAGCCGTAAGCAGAACGTTGAACCTTCGCTCACTATACTCCCATGGATCCAGAGGTGGCCACTCTTCCTTTTGTGGTTTCTTCTTTGGAAAGAGCCACGAAAACAAGGGAAAGCAGGGCTTTTCTTTTGATCCTGCTGCCTTGTTCTGCTTGAGAATCTCGACATCCTCTGGAAGTTCCCTTGGCCATCCACCATCTCTAGTGTCGCTCAACCTTGATATATCTACATCCAGAGTCTCAAATGATGATGTGGGCCAAGCCATTGCTACACCCATGTATCCTTTGGCCAAAGATATGAATGAATGCTGGTGTTAGATGAGGTAGTTGAAAGTGAAAAAGGCTCCCAGACCAGGACTGACCAAGAACCCATCTTACCATTGAAGGGTCTCCCGTATAATCCTGTTACCATGTGATAGCCTCGATTAGCAAAGAATGAATGCAGAGAGCCTGCCCAGTCATAGCTCACTTCTTGTAAGCAGACAATGACACCTCTTGATTTAGCTGACGATATCTCAATTTCAATTTTGGAGAGAACGGCCTCTAGACGTTTGGATGGATCGAGATGCTCCGGATTCAGCGTGGGATAGCTAGCAGTAGTGGCCAGGTTGGGGCTTAGTACATTGTATGAGACTACTCGGATGCTGGAAGGGGATAGCAGATAATACAAGTGAAAATTTAATGTGAGTACACATACCTTCAAGTGGAGCACAATGTCTTCCATTTTTTACCTCGCCATTGCCTTTTGCGTTGAACGGAGCATTCCGTTGTTCAGGGTGCCGTCTTTGCCAACAGAGAAGGCAGCTGTTGAGTAATTTGAAGGAGAGAATACCAGCAGAAAAAGCAGGAGGACGGACACGGATGTCGGTGAGTTCACCATTGTTTGCGTCAAGTTATTGGTGGTCCTTGGTCCTCCATCGGTCCTCGTGGCCGTCCATTTGGCTCCTCCCTTCCTTATTGTTTACAGCTTCACTGGCTTAACATCTTTCAAAGCAAAACGTGCACGTTCCACGTTCCACGATGAGCGTTTGTGATGGGTACAATCGAACCCAAAACCCTTTCCCAGGCCCATCTCAAGTCGATTCGAAGTAAGCTGTCCCTGCTGAATACTTTTCTGCTCTCCAAAATGCAGGCATCATCCTGCTCCCCTTCACAGTGGACCCATTTCTTGGACTGGGACCCTTCACCCATGCCCTCCTCTACGGCTCCACTCGCCAACCATTCCCCCTCCCAGCACCCCCCTGGTCTGCCAAACTCCCCACCCACTCCCAACGCTCTTACAGCCAACTCCTTTCAGCCCCAACCGCCATTCTCCCCACTGCTGATACCCACTTTGTCACCCCCACCAACTACTCCATTGACACCCAACCCTACACACCTTCACGCTGGGCACACCAATCCCTTGCCCTCAATCTATCTACCCACTTAGCACAACACTTTCAACGCGCTATTACACGCCAAGCTCGATCCCTCTATTCCTCCGGCTCATCCCCGTCCTCAGTCCTTGCCGGTCCATATATGCCTACTTCACGCCCAGAACCGCTTGATCCCTTCCCATACTTTTTACAAGCGGACGTTACCTAGTACCGTCCCTTTCACGTAATCCCCTATAGTTATTTATCGAAGCATGGCTTTCCAGAGAAACAGCAGCAACACACAGCCATCAACACACAACATAGCATCCCTTGCCAGAAATAAATGAGAGGGAAAACAATGGACATGGCGTCCAAGGCAGACGTCGGTAACACGCCTTTGAAAGGCAAGAAGAACGAGGAAGGTTCCAGCACCGGCATTCCCAACAAGAAGCATAAACCTAATGAAGCTGTTGCAATGGGGCCAGAGGTAGTAATTGATAGCGCACCGGAAGCAGAGCCATTTTCCAGTGCGTCGGATGCACCTGCTGCCGCTGTGGTCCTCTCTCCGGAAATCAAGAAGATGCTTGAAGCATACATGAAGGAATCTGCGTGCATCAATGCATTGAAGGCCGACATCGAGGCATTGAAGGCCGACATGAAGGAATTGGAGGCCAGCACCAAGGAATTGGAGGCCGAAACAAAGGAGTTGAGGACACTCCTGGATGGAATCGCTGGAGCAATGGAGCCTGCGACGGAGTACGCTCTTTTTGAGACTGCCATCTATGAGTTTGTGGAAGCCAATCACCCGCAGGAGAGCAACAAAATCAAGTACCAAGTGTCCCAACTTTGCAGCTGGATCCTTTACAATCTGTTTGGAGAACAAAAACCATATGCTCCTGCTGTTCCGAGCAAAGACTTTTGCAGCGAGCAGGAAGTGCTGTCGTTTCTACTGGCAAGCCGCAATGGCGGGGATTAGCGCTTACCTGCGCGTCGCGGATCCTCTTTACCTCTTCAATTGTTCTTCGGAGGAGCGCAATATGACAATTCTCAATGGGGATCTCCTCGACAGTTTGTTTGCGCCGAACGAGGAGACTATCAGGAAATTTACATTGAAGAAAGAACCCATTGTGCGCAGTTGGGAAAAGATTAGAGTCGAAGCTAAGGCATACCTGCAGATAGAAGGGAGGCCAGCCACGGTTAAAGACGCAATCCAGGACATTGTTGCTTCTATCCCTGAAGGCGTTGACCATATCAAAGCCAATGTTGCTTTCGTCGAAAAAGGAGTTGAAGAGCTCAAAACGAAACTTGAACTGAACGTGATCCAGCCTCCCCCGCCTGCAGATTGAACTAAACTACACCAATGGGCGAAAACGAAGACAGAGGGCATCCACGGGCGCTATGCATGTAGACCATACCGGTGCTTGGTAAAGATTAAGATAACTTATTGAATTGACAACCAAACTTGCTAGCTAGTTACGACTACACTTGCTAGCAAGTGCTACCTACATGTAGCTTGTTACAACCACAAGTCAACCAAACAGCTTGTCACTCCACGATCCATGCAGGCAACAGGCACCCCGGTGCTGCCCATGTACTTTGCATGGGTGCCGTTCCTCTGCTACATATCATGCACGAGAGTGAGTCTGAAGCTGACCAGACTGGAGATGAGTGCTTTTGGTGATGCATTGGCCCATGTACCATTCGGCCTGCGGTACAGGTACCAGGTACTAGTTTAGAGACGCCGCTAGATTTCACAGCTTCCATTGTTCAAGTTCGTTCTGTAAACTGTTTTATAACTACTCTCTAACACGCACTGTATATGGTTGAGGCAACGCAATATACAACGCTCATATATACAACCGCCGAAGCGCAAATGCGGGGGAGGCCGATCTGACGGGTGGAGGATATCCGCTGGTCGCCCTTGTTCTCTACATTGCACTCCTGCCATCGCTGCATGAGGACGGCCTTGGCGTCTTCCTTTTGCTGCAGTGCCGCAGACATGTTTTTGACCTTCTCATAGTACTGTTTCATCTCCTGGATATTGGGTTCAACACACCGTGTAATGGATTGTCACCCTGTCAGCAACACAGTTTGCATACTTGGACCCTATCATCACACATCGAGTGGAACTTACATTGCTGTACTGCTGGTCCGAATCCTTGCCGCCCTGCAGAGTTTCCAATCGACGACAAAGACGACGGCGTAGGCCACGAACCTCCACCGAGTCTTGGGAGTCAAACCTCTTAACGCTTCCGATACGAGACGGGAACGAAGACTCACTGAGGTCTGATATCGATCCATCATCAGGTGGATTACGGTCAGAGGCAAGGGCCACAACCAATTCATGTTTGGCCACTTGGAGCTCCCCTCGGAGCGCTTTGATCTCCTTTTCATAGCCGGCCAAGCGACCTGGAATCTCTTCATCGGTAATGTCGTTCTTAACAGGCTCTGCTTGTGCAATTTTCACTGGCTCGGGTTGCTTCATTGCCGATCGAAGACGAGGAATCATGCTGACGTGGCGGGAGGGTCGTGGTGACCCATCAGCGGAGGCCGAGAGAGAGGGAACAGGAGGAGTGATTGGCTTGGGAGGTTTGGTTTTCGTCTCACTGGGACCAACTTTACCGGACTGCTCTCCAGCAGCTATTGTCTCCAGAAGGTTTCGGAAGTCAACGCCGCCTGTTGTGTCCTGTTCATAAGCGACGAGTAGGTCGTTGGCAAGAGACTGAAATTGGGATTGCAGCTGATTTAGTAGCTGCGATCGACGATCCAAGTTCACCACGACATGATTCGTAATGTTCTTTGCGCGGTTAGCGTATCGCAAAGCATTTGTGGTTTCTTCCTTGTTCTCCACAGCAGGGCTGACACAGGCAATCATCAGTGTATGATGATTGCCGCCCAAGCTCCCTTTAAGAAGGAGTGTAAGCTTGCTATCTCGGTATGGAACGTAACCATTGGACGAGGCACGTTTTGGATCGCCAAGCGCAGAGATGACATTTCCTAATGCCAGCAGCCCCATGTTGATTTGACAGACCTCGCCTTTTCGGAGGCGTTGCTGCGCATCCGATACGTCCGAGAAGATTCGCTTTTGTCGTTCCGACCCTGCCAGGTCACAGAGGTGGAAGCGGCTACGCTTGACGTGAGATCCCTTGGAGACTGCACCAGTCATCGTTGTCTGCTGTTCAACCATCACCGAAAAGATGGCATGAGAGCGAGAAGATGTCGCGTTCATTGACGTTGCGCCAGTCGCTCGCCTTTGTAGCCCTTTCTTGAGAAGTTCTAGAGCTTCATCAGCTGTCGTCACTGTGGGCTTGCAGGAACCAATGACGTCTGGTTCTTTTTCGCCAATACATCTTAGCGTGACTTTTCGTGCAGGTTTCTTGTCGTCCGGATCACGTAGAAGATCTCGAATGTCGTCCATGTACAGCTCGAGAAACTGTACTCGCACATGGCTCGTGTGCTTCACAAGGCAGCTGTAGCCTGCCACGCTTTGGTCTGATCGAGCTTCTAAACCCTCAAACAAGTCCCTTAGGGCTCGAGGAATGACTCCGACTTCGCTCTCTTTTATTTCATTGTCTCCAACCGGTGGACCTGTCATCGTGTACGTCTTCCCTGTTATTTGACGAAAATGAGTTCAAAAAGTGAAATGTTCTGATCGGGTAGCACGAATAATAATCTGATACCGTTTGGTCTGTTTATCAGTACTCACCCGATCCAGTCTGACCATACGCCACGATTGTCGCGTTGTATCCTGCCAAACACCTATCGACCAAGGGAGCGACGCGATGCTCGTAGATATCTTCCTGAGAAGAGTTTTCTGGAAACACTTCGTCGTAGCAATATGTTGGCCCTTCTTCGTCTCCAACACGGAGAATCGAGTGGTGCTTGCGGCGACTTCGGTCCCGGGCATGCGACGTCAAGTTTTTTCGTTCGTATAGCGCCTCTAAACAAGGTTTCTTCTCGTTCCCTAGGAGCGGACGCACTCGAACCGCCACTTGCACGGTCCGATTGTTCATACAGGATACAAAGCTAGCGTCATCTCTTTGATTGTTGTTGTTGTCCTGTTGCTGTTGCGGCGGCTCCTTGACCAACGTTTCCAGACCTTCCACTTCGACGGAAAGCTCGGTTTCCGCTTCCGTGGCACTCTCAACCTCGTCGCCGGCCACGGTATTGGTGTCCTTGGCAACTGCGCCCTTTCCATCCTCCTCCGTGCTGTCCTTGTAGACTGTCCTTTCATCGGTAGCACTCGGTTCTATCATCACGCTAAGTTCGTCGTCAATATCCTCGCCCAGCAGGTCGTCCTCATCGTCGTCCATCCTCAACGTGCTGATATCATCCTCGATTGTCATGTCGTTCTCCATTGTCGTGGTTCCTTCTAGCTACATGTACATGTTTAGTTGAGGTAAAACTGTGTGTGTGCCACAATAGCCATTGTACGGTACCGTAGCCATAGAGTGAGCAATGCTCGGATAGCTCGAGGGGCCAATGACCCACAAAGATACCAAAGATTTCCCTTGATGGAGAGACTAAAAAACCTCGAAAACTACGGTACCGGTATGCATACGTACAGTACAGTAGAAGCAGAGGAATGCAAAGCATGTGCAACACACAGACCGATCGACTCGACTCCCACCACACCACCCCGTTTTTAAAATAAAATAAAAAGCAGTGGAACTACTGTACAGATTCCCATCTGTGGCGGGAGTCGAGTCGGTCAGCGGGTTGGCAATGAGCCGTGTTCTACGATAGCTTGCTATCTACCTACGGGCGGCAGGCTAGCTTATCTAGCTAGCTATTTCCAAGTTATATTACCGGTAGCCATGAAGATGTTAGTTAGTTGTCCTCGCTCAGTTTGGGTGCCGAACCAAGTTATGGTGGTACTGGTACCTACTGCAGCAGGCCACGAAAGAACTGACAAATGGGATGGGACGGCCAGGTGGGAGTGGTTTTTGCTTCCGTTGAATGGCAAAGGCCATGCATCCGGCACTCGGAGGGATTTAGACAGCATTTTGCCACTGCTTGGTGCACTGGCTGATGATGCTCACAAAAAAATTCGTTTCTTCAACCTTCAACACACATCATCATCTCTAAAGAGGACACAGGAGAGGTGTTGGTACCTTGATTCAGATAGTTGGAGTTGTGTTGTTGTGTCTTGTCAAGTGTTGTTCTGTTGTGATTGACCACAATAAGGCGAAGGTGTCGGCGAAGAGAAAAAGGAAATTGTTCCTTTGAGGCACTTTTTTGGTCAGAAGAAGAACAGAAGCACAGAACAAGACGTGTGTTTTAGATGACAGGCAACCACAGCGAACACTTGGATCACCAACAGCAACAACAGCAAGAAGAATCTCCTTCCGTATCTGTTCCACAACATCAGAATCTGGTTTATAGTAACAGCAACAACCCTAGCAGTCCCTCTGTGTGCACCGACGACGATGCGAGTGCCATCACGAATGACCTATCCTTGGTGACCATGAAGACGGCATCCTCACCAACGAGGCCTTCTTCTTCGTCTGGCTCGGCTTCTTCTGTACAAGTGGCTGTGAGAGTACGGCCTCTCTTGTCATCACTAGAGTCAGGATGTGGTTCTTGCATTCATATACTTCCACCCCTCCGTGGTCGGCCCACTACCATTCAAATTGGACCGGAATCGACAGGACCCACGTTCACATTTGATGAAGTGTTTCCTATCAGCTCTACACAAGTACAAGTCTATGAACACCGTGTCGCTCCATTGGTAGAGAGATGTCTAGAAGGATACAATGCAACAATACTGGCATATGGGCAAACAGGTTCCGGAAAAACACACACTGTCATTGGACCGTCTACCTGTCATTCCGCTCCAGAAGAGACTTCCTCAGGAATGATTCCCAGGGCTGTCAGTTCTCTCTTTCAACAATTACAACAACGACAGCTGGAACTCAGCAGTCTGCCCAATTCTCCCGCTTCCGCCAGCCTGCCCAGTACTAAATCACCAACCAACTCACCACAACGCACTACAAGTAGTAGAAGCAAATCCAAATCAATCAACAACAACAAACAGGAAGCAGCGGCATTTGAGTTTCAAGTGCGAGTACAATTCTTGGAAATTTATGGCGAAGACATTCGGGATTTGCTAGCATCGTCTACTACGAATGCGCAGGAACGACTCACCATTCGGGATATTGGCAATGATGAGCCAGAAGTGGTGGGAGCCACTTGTCAAGTGGTCAAATCGGCCGAAGAAGCTTTGCGTTGTCTGACCAAGGGCATGCTACGAAGAGTCACTGCCGCAACTAGCATGAACGAATCTTCCTCTCGCTCGCATGCCATTTTCTCCATTCTCATGGAACAGTCCACAACACACGGTAGTGGACCACAACAAAAACGTTCCAAATTCAATTTTGTAGATTTAGCAGGATCGGAACGACAAAAACGAACTCGGGCACAGGGCGTGCGATTAAAAGAAGGCATTGGGATCAACAAGGGGTTGCTCGTTTTGGGAAATGTCATTTCTGCCTTGGGTGATCCTAAAAAACGAGGAAAGGCATTTGTGCCGTATCGGGATAGTAAATTGACACGGCTCCTCAAAGGATCGTTGGGGGGGAATCACAAAACATTGATGATTACGGTTAGTAAAAATTGTTGGAGCTTGTCTGGAAGTGGATTTTTGTTTGTTGAATCAAAAAGAAATCTCACCTTGTTTGTACCATGTGTTTTTTCTGCAACGCTTTGATGTCCCCCGAAACATTGCGACTTGACCTTGACCCAAAAATCAAAATTTCTGACAAACAAACTCAAAACAACAATTCGCTGAATTCAATAGTGTGTTTCACCCTCATCCACCAACATGGAGGAGTCACTCAACTGTTTGAGATATGCAAATCGTGCAAAGAACATTCAGAACAGGGCGGTTGTCAATGTCGATGCACGGACGAGAATGATTGCCGAACTCAAAGCACAGGTTCAGGCTTTGGCGGCGGATTTGTTGCGGGCCAAAGATAGCGGCGATCTGGTTGGAGGTGCATTCACCAGGCAGGACCTGCTGGCCATTGTGCAAGGAAGTGAAGCGTCAGCTGCGAATCAAAATAACAATAAGACTCCTGGCAAACAGCAACAAACCGAGGAATCTCGGGCCAAGGATACGCCTTCTCCATTACGGCATCCCAGACTAATAACTCCCGAACCTCCGCAAGCTGAGCAACAGCAACGACTCCAGGACCTGGAAGGAGAATTGAGCAGAACAACCAATCAACTGAAACGATGCAGAACCGAAAACTATGCCGTGGAAGAACGCTTGCATGTTACGCTGGCAGAAAAGGAATTTTACAAGCTTCAACTGGAGGCGGTTGCGACGCCTGATGGCGGCAATTCGCCCATTCCAATTGACCAAGCCTTTGTGAATCGTGCCACCGAGTACGAGAAGGAAATTGGCCGCTTGAAAGAGGAGCTCCGGATGGCTCGGTCGCATGCTGTGGACCGACGGGACCCCTCTGAAGCTGATGCGAGATTCTCGATTGAAAAAGCCAGCCAGGATATGCTGGCAGAGAGAGAACGCCTTGCTGCCATTCAGAATGAGCTGCTGTCGTCAAAGTCGGTTTCTACACCACAAGAAACCACTCCGAAAGAGACGGGCAAAGAAGCCAATGATAGTTCGCTCGAACCCGCCGATTCAGAGGAGAAGGCAGAAGAGGAACATTTGACAGCACTGACGCTGAAGTACAGCCATATCGACGACGAGGATGAAGTGATGATTGTAGACCAGCAGAATACACCCCGGGTGGTAGGGGATCCTGCCTTGGCTCAGGCCGAGTCCGAGGGAAAGGACGCAGCAAAACGGCAAGCAAAAATCGAAGCAGACCTTCTGGAAATATCTCGAGTTATTGAGTCAAAGGAGGAGCTTATATCACAACTGCAATGCAGCCAAGCGAAATACTCGGTACGTTTATCATGTGTTGACTTGTGAAGTTGTGCTGCTGTTATCTCATCATACGGTGTCGTCACCTGCCACAGTCCATGAAAGAATTCTACGAAGGCAAGCTTCATGAGATGGAAGCTCTGCTTGATCAAAAGGAGGAAGAACGCCTCAAGATCATTGCAGAAATGGAGAGACTCAAGGAAAACAATCACGACACCAAAGATCTCGAGGAGGAGCTCAAACAGAAGGAAGAGCACATTGCGGGCATTAGAAAGCAGAAACTGCAGCTCAAGGATTTGACCGCGGTTTCGTCCAAGAATGCAACTGAGATCAAAAAGCTACAAAGCGACGTGAGGGCCATGAAAGAGAGAAAGGTTTCCATGCAAAAGCAACTAGCCGACGAACGCAAAGCCCACGCACTGGAAATCAAGAGGCTCAAGAAAGAAGTATTACAAAAGGATCGCGAGACTCGTAAGTGGCAAAAGATTTCAAATCAAAAGGCTTCGGAAGCCGAAAAGGCGAACCAAGTCACCAAGATGAAAGTACAACAACTCGGCCAGCTCCGAGCGAAATACAAGGATGCGGAGAAGACGATTCGAATGCTTCAGATCAAAAAAGGCGTGATGGCGAAGGCAGGTTTGGACTCTGTCATTGTTGGACGACGAGGGAAGCGGCCGCTCAGCAAAGACCAGAGTCGCGATCCGGCCAATTCTAGTCGTGCGGTAGACACAGATTCTCTGCGTGATTACTTTGACAAAAAGGTGGCAGAGGTTGGCAGGAAAGAAGCCCTTGCGGACAAACTGGCACGTGGATGGGAGGAGCACATGCAGTTGACTTTGCAGCGTAGTGAGCTTGTGGAGCAAGAGACCGAAGAATCAAACGAAGAAATCCAGGCTCTTGACTTGAGGATCCAGTATGAAGAGGATCGAATAAGGAAGCTCGCTCATCGTCTTGGAAAGCGAAGTCCTCCTGTGTCTGGCGACGAAAAGCACCAAGCCGGTAGTATGAACTCGTTTTTGTATGGCAAAGACTTCACAAAACTTTGCAAGGGTAAGTTTGTGTTGGACGTTGGTCATTCATGGACAGCCCGACGATCTATGTTCTAATACTCCAGTTTTTGTTGCAGGTTTAGATGCTGGAAAATCGTCGGAGATTGCGGCAAGGGTTCTGTTTGGGATGGTAGTAAGGGAGCGACGCCGTATTGCTTCGTTGGCGAAAACAGCATCCTCTCTTGACGAAAAGTTGCGAGAGTGTCAGATGGACAATGAGGCTAAGCAGGTGGCATTCCGTTCCTACGTTCAAGACTCGCAGCAGGATTTTGCCAACATATCAATGAATCACCAGGAGCAGATTTTGTCCTTGATGTCGCTCGTGAAGAGTGGAGACGACAACCCTCCAGATGGTTCTCGACGGGGTAATTCCGTGACTGCTGCCTCTGATTCTTCGGGAGATGAATCTGTCGAAAGTTCGAAGCTGTTGATCCTTGCAAACGAGAGAATCGGTGTGCTAGAGCAGCATCTTCGAGAACTGAAGGCAGAAAATAAAGTCAATGATTCATACCGCGTGGAGAAGGAGGAGATCAAGGCCTCTTTGGCGGCAAAGAACGAAGAATATGAAAAGCTTGAAGTTCGTGTGTCCTCTCTCCGTGCGACGCTGCGTCAAATACGCGAAGAATTGACGAAGCCCAACAGTACGGAATCAGAGCAGGAAGACGAGTACAGCAGCAGCCGACTTTGTCTCGCCATAATCAAGAAGGCTTTACTACAGTCACCTGGGCCGATGTCGCCAATGGCAAGACGGCATTCCTGTCCAAACATAATTCAGCCCGAAACGTCGCCACAATCAATGAAACAGTGGGAGTTTATGAGCGGTGCAGATGACGACGAAGACGAAGCGGACGAAGAGGAGGCCCCGGATTGGGCGGACGAGATTATGGAAGACTTGGCATTTATAGCGGAAGGAAAGCTCCCCCCGTCACTGCAAGGAGTCGAAGGCATCTTCGAAGCAGAAGTACGGGTGCAAGAGGAAAAGAAATCTGTTGCCTTGAAAATGCCAGATCTCGTTGATTATAACAATACACCACCTCACGCGAGCTCAAAATTGAACCCACCTGATGGTGACACGCATCATAATGTTGATGATGTTCTTGAAAGTCTGCTAGAAGACACACTGATGGTTGATACCGGTACGTTGCTCATGGAGGAGGGTCCTCCGGAGACTAGCACGGACGGCTCAACTGGGAAACCTGAGTCGAAATTCAATGGCATTGCCGACGACGCAATTGGGGAGATAACCCAGTCATCTTCTTTGAGGAGTTCAGGCTCGGCCAAGTCTCATAGTTCACATGGCGAAACGGAAGGGTCCGTTTTCGAACGGCTCGTGAACCCCACACACTTCACTGGAACCCAGAGAGAGAAGCATCACTCCCAATCAGAATTGCAGAAGGAGCATCAGGAAAGCTCCGCCGAACGCCTTTTGGATAGTTTGCTGGAGAGCAACGTGGATATAATCACTGCTGCACCCGGGCATCGGCTCGGTGAGGCATCTACGACGAGGTCAAACGCAGCAGATGCTGCTAGGAAAATCAAGGAATATACTCGACAGAATGTGTTCGAAAGGCTGACCAAGACTACAACTCAATCTTTTGCCGGCAAACATCCTGATACACTCCACGATGGTCCTAGTCACGACAATCGACCAAAGCGTTCCAGCGCTCAAACGGCCGACCTTACTCCGAGCGCAGGCGAAGGAACTCCAATGCCCACAAAGATACCCTTGCCATCTTCATCGAGAATCAAGTCTCCCGCTCGTCCCAAGTTCAAGCCCAAGACAAGCAGTCGTGGGACATCTCCTACAAGAATCGCCGGTAGATCGCCGGGCAGGGCGAAGTCGCCACCGCCCAAATCAAGAAACGAAGGGTATACTCAGCAGAATGTGTTCGAGAGACTTACAAAAACTACAACTGAAGCCTATGCTGTCAAGAAGAGAGTTGTGAAGAATTGAGTGCTTATTGCTTCAGAGCATCCTCATGCCTTGATCATCATCAATGTTGTGGTGGGGAGTGACCCAACGATTGCTTTTTCAATTAGTCTTGACTTGGGAAGCTACCCTGACGGCTAGGTGGTCTTCAAGTTCCCATCAAGAATGCTATTGTACACAGTAAAAGCCACATAGACTAGATTGACACCCTTTAGTCTTCTTCTACGAGCGGCCATGTAGTGTGATCGCCCAATGTAAGACCGATACACCTGTTTGGTCGTCGGGATCGTACCGATAGCTACCGGTACCGGTATGCAGCGACGCGACCAACCCGAATGGTCGTGCTCTTTTGTTGGATCTATGCCTAGCAGCTACCGGTGAGAGAAGAGTTCCGTCTCCACTCAGCACTACTGTAGGGCAACTCTATAGCTACTGGTATAGTACAGTACTGTTGTGCATCACCCCAACTAGCACTTCCTCCTTCGCCTCTCACCATCTGATGAATGTTTGATGTAACTGCCGTACTAGCTAGTATCAGCAACCAACTCAGAGTATTGGAATTCACTTCCCTCCAGTAATCCCCATGACACCACGACGAACGGGGCTTATTCTTACGCACATGGCCGGTAGAAAGCCATGAGCTAGCTTCGCATGTCCTAGGGCCGAATATCACAGTGAAACTTACTACTTGATGTCTTCCGTATAAACAAAACGGCAACCGATGGAAAACTCCACGGAGAAGACAGCCCTGAACCAGCAGCTCTTAGCACTCCACTACTCGAGTACATGTCCTGGCGACAGAGGCAATGCCTTCAAGACCTGCTATCCAGTACAGCCCTAGTCGAGGTGCAACAAAAATGTCAAGTCCCTGTGGCAAAGACGGAGGCGAGGCTAAATCGGAACGTAACCGTGACTGGACCTTTTTTTGGTGGTTTAGGTAAAAAACGCGGGAATCGAAGCCAAGCTTTGCTCGCCTCACATTTTGGTCGATTTTGAAATGTGTTTCACATGTTGTTCTTCTGTACCGCTACCGGTACAATCAAAGTGTTGTACAGATGACGAGTCAAACGATGCGAAACTCCTTTGATTTCAAATATCAAACTCGACAAAGGGCCATCATGGTCTTCTTTTTAGGCTACTGAGCTTTTTGATCGATTTTGATTTTAATCTACTTTGAAACTTCGGATGGTTTCTCGTTCAGAAAACTCACTTGGCTCACAATTTCGCCTCGAAACCAATTTTCTAGCATCAACTAAGTTCACTTGTCTTTCATACATCGGAATTCATTACAATGATCAATCGACTACGCTTTTCTCTGCTCTTATTTGTCTGTTGCGGCGTCTACGTTGGAGCTCTCTGCAACCTTTGTGAGAATGGTGTCGACGGTATCAACTGGCCACTTCACCACGTCGATTCGAACGGAAAAACCTGTGCCCTCAAGTCGATCGACATGGCTCTTATTAGCAACCCAAACTCCAATGCATGTCAGTCTGAGATCTCCCAGTATCGCCCCATTTGCTGCGGTAGTCAAGAACCCGGTCCCATTGAACAAGTGCCTACGTTGCCGCCCGCTTTCCAAGGTGAGACGGGACCCTACGAGCTCTGTGACATCTGCTGGACTGGTGACTACCCCTACAACACTGGAATGGTCATCAATATGCTCTACATTGGAGTTGGATCCTGCGCTCAGTACTACGGATATGGACAAGGTGGCTGGATCCCGGATCATTTGTGCGATACCATCCAGCACTTTGCCTACGAACCATGCGGCTGCGGAGAATTCAATCCGAATTACAACCCCAATGTCGGACGAGCACCACCCATGGGCTCTGGTCCTGACCCAACGCCTAATCCTACCAGACAACCCACCCTTGCTCCCACTCCAGTTCCTACACCACAGCCAACAAATCCTCCAACTCTTGAGCCCACAAATCCTCCAACACCACAGCCGACATATCCACCAACACCACAGCCTACACCACAGCCAACACCACAGCCAACACCACAGCCAACACCACAGCCAACACCACAGCCAACACCACAGCCAACACCACAGCCTACACCGCAGCCTACACCACACCCAACTCAGTCACCCACTCCCGTGCCCAGTCCAGCCCCAACTCCGGTGCCAACTCCAGCCCCAACTCCAGTCCCCACTCCAGCCCCAAGCGGACCAGGCAATGCCAATGGAAACGGCAACGGCAACGGGAACCCACAGCAGAAGACACCCGACTCGGATGCCAAGGATGACATGAAGATGGGCAATCAGCTGGCTCGTGGTGGTGCAGGAGGCACACGTCGCTATCTGAAAGGAAGCCTCCGCAAGGATGTCTAGTACTGGGCGACGACCGGGGATCAGTTTCGGCTGTCGGAGCACCACACTTGTTGAGTGTTTAGATGGATTTGTCTCGCTATTGGTCAGAATTGGGGTCTCACAACTTACTTGGAATCGAATCGCTACTTCAACCCCCGCATCATAACTTTTCAATAATTTATAACCCTCGATAGAATACAACCAACTAGTACTAGAGTCAGATAATTTGTGGATCTTCAAGCCAAAAGTGAGACGACCGAGTTGCTGATGCAAGCCAATCTAGACTACCCAATAATAACCATTTCTTGGTTCTAGTCAACCTGCCACAATCACCGTGCTATCTCGTAATAGTTGAAACTCGGGACCTACAACGTACCTACCGAATCGTACCCACAGATCACGGGGCTTTTGCCTACGATTTTGAACTGTTGCATCCGTACGCATCGTTGTTTGTATTCTCCCATACAAGGCCAGGAACCAGTCAGCCACACAGGTTAATGACACAACAATCCCGCAATAACATTTAAAACCAAGGATTATAAAGCATGCATGTGAAAATCGGATGCATGTCAAAAAGTTAGTTGGTGGTGTGGTGGTGGTGGTTGCATTGGAAATGACAGAACCCATCACCACTTTGAATGGTTGAAAATGGTTGGCCAAAATAGCAAGACACATTTCTGGGGTTCCATACACAATTTTCTCATATTTGAAGTACATGTCATTTGGCTGTTGGATTGGGTTTGGACACTTTGCACCACATTCACGAAGCTTGGGTAGGTTTCCATCTGCAAGTCCTGCAGCTGGTGGTGACCCGTCCTTGCGTGGTGTTTCATGGCAGAAAAGCTCACACACACCCCTCAGAATTTGTTCACGACCTGTTTTCTGGAATTGTTCAGGGTTCTCAAAACCCTTTTTTGTGCCAAAGTTAAGCCCTCTGTAGTATGGAAGGTGAACTCCATAACGCATCGCTGGGATGTCGGTTTCATTCCTTAAATCAAAAGAAGAACCTTTCCAATGACGCACCATCCAATTCCCTAGCAGACAAAATTGGGACATCTTCCACCAAATTCTATCCGCCTCCCACATATCCTTCCAGAGTGCTGTAGTCTCCTTCTTGTTGCCATGCATTGCTTCAACATCCGCTCGATACTGAGGGAACATGGCTCGAGGCCAGACTGTCGGCAGCTTAATCATGAAATTCCAATCATCCGAGTCACCATGAAACATCCACTCATCACCCTTGCTCCACATCCCCTTCTGGTAGGTTGTCTCTGCCATGATGTAAGGCGGAGCACCCTCTTTTTCAAGGTTGAACAACATATCCGGGGTGATGGGGGTATGGAATGCTGTATCTGTGTCCATAATCGCCACATACTCAGACGACCCTTGCTGCTCAGTGTACATGTTGAAAAGCTGGTTCCCAAGTCTGCCTGGCATGCCATACTCAAATGTTGAATACATCACTTCAACCCAAGATGGGATGTTTTGTCTAGCAAACTCTTCATCGCCAACATCAAGAACGATGACAACACGACCTGCACACCTGGGCCAGTAGAGTTCTAGACTCTTGACCATGACAGCCAGTTCCCACGGACCATGTTTTGCCCCAGCACGACAAACCAGGTCTACACTGTGTGGGAAGGGGTTGACCACCTCGTATTCTGCCAGCAACCGGGCAATGGACATTCCACTGGGGCGATCAAATGTCAGGGCACCAAAGTTGGAGCCTCCCATCATAGTAGGCTTTGGTTCGTCCCAGTTGGTGAGTCTTTTACGTGCACACTCTCGGCGGTCTTCAACTCCACCTGTGCTTGGATTAATGACCTTGTCTTGGATGGCTGGAAATTTGTACCCACCTTGTTGGAGAGCAGTGAGCCATTCTTGGACTGCTTTTACATCTGCCATTTCAATATACTGCCTTTTGTATAGTTCAATCCAAAGATCTTCAATTCGTGCTTGTAATGAATCGCCCGCACTTCCCTCTGTGCTGGATCTCCAGCTGTCCAAAAATTCCAGCAATGCTTCTGTACGGAGATACAAATGCTGTTCGGCAACAAAATCACCAGCATAGTCATGAGCATTACAAAACTGAGTGACCATGGGTGGACTGTACAAAACACGGGCTGGTGCCTCCAGCTCCCTCAATAGACGCTGAACTATGTAAGATCGCCAGATATCACTGACTCGTCCATTAACAGTAATGGGCAAGTACAATCCCCAAAATGCCACAGGGAAGTGCAGTGTTGCTTGTGCAATACACGGCTCTTAGCCTTATTCGCGACTCGATCCTAGATAGGGTTTGAGTTCGACTCATGACTGAGTCTCTCGTGAATAGTCATTTGAGACAGGGTTCTCAATGACCGCGCTAGTCATACTAGGTTGATGATGAAACATCGCTCTAGATATTTAGCCAGCGTGGAGTACTTCCACGCTACTAGATCCAGGCTAGACAAACCTTCCACGCGTTCCGTTTTTAGGATCGTGGAGAGACGTAGGATTACTACCGCAACCTACTCTATCACACTTTATAGTCTCCCGCGGGAAGCCAGATCTACGATCCCTGATGATGATCTCTCTCGTTGATTAGTTTTCATAGCTTTCTAATCTCTCTCATAACTTTCATTCTCTCAAACTCAAAACACTCGAAAGATCTTTACACTAGCTTTTAGCGTAGTGCATTTTGTTAACAAACACAATAGCTTTCAGCTACCCTATCTCTCTCTTTTC